AATCTGTACCTCGTAGAGTGCGGAGAGCTAGGAGGGGTATCCAGTGGTCTGTACCCACCAAAGGAAAGCCGAGAAGCTCAGGAAGGCAAGCCACAGTCAAGCAAGGGAGAGCAACCCAGAGAGAAGTTGAAACTCCCCCCACTCTTTCTGAAAGCCAACACAAGCACTTCGGGCCGCCGATGAGGAGGAGAAAGGAGGAGGCAATATTTCACCCCCAGAAAACCCAAAAAGCCTCAGCCAGGTGGTGATGGAAGTGGCCAAAAACAGCTTGCCACAGGATGGAGCTCCAGGCACACGTCCGTCACTTGGGCCATCAACCAAGTTTTGCTGGCTCATCACAGACAAGTGGGCCAGGATTCTTTGGTTGCAACCAAATTGAGGGCCGCTGGGCAAAAAGATCAAGCCAGGGTGCTGCAGGGCACCAGGGGTAGGCTCACCCCAAAACGGCCTCGTTCTTTGTGTGGCGGACAGCCCGACCTGAATAGTGTGTGTCTCTCAGCTCCTGGCTAGACCCAACCTGGAGGGCGATGGGAAGGATAGCGTTTTTGGCTGTTGGAGGATTTGCGCCCAGGGAGACCCACGGGCACGGGTCAGGTACGAGGAGGCGGACTGGCGCGGGCGCAGGCGCAGGGCACAGAGATTCGCCATTCGGATTCGTGTACCTGGATTGGGGGGAAACTTTGTGCTCGACTAGGTAGAAGCAGACGGAGTTCTATTGTATGTGTGAGTAGATGGTATTGAAAGAAGATGGTACTCACGAGAAGTTCTCCATCCCAAGTAAGATGGCTCCGTATGTGTTGTGGTTGACCTGGGAAGAGAAATGAGGCGTGCAGGTACCTCACCAAGAGCCTTCACTGTGATGGTACCTACAAGGACAGAGGGGGGGCACCCATTCTCGGTTATGATGCTCCACAGCCCAGAGTGGTTTCTGACCCTTGCAAGCCTCATCTTGTTAGCTGCATATCCGGAGTCCACCACTTGCTAGTCCCAGCACTTGATGTGCCTCCGGCCGGCTTGGCCTGACACCTCTTGTTGCGCTTTCTCTCGCTTCCAATGCCAGATGGACTCCTGAAATCTATGGAGCTTCAATTGTGCCTCGCAACAAATCTCTCCTGGCACCTACGCCTGTTCCAGTACCCGTGGTGCTTTTCTATCCTCCCAACGGTCGGAGCCCGTTGATTTTTTCTTCCTTTCTTTACACCGCGGGGGTTGTACTTGTGCCACGTCTTTATCCCCTCCGTTTGTCGTCCTGAGGAGAAACAACAACGTTTGTTTTTCCTACGAGGATATATCCAGAGACAACACGTGCTGGGTTGCCTGGAGCTCCCTATCAGTTCTGGGCTGAGGTTCTGGAGGATTGATATCCTGGACCCTATACCATATCAGACGCTGAGACCAATCTCCATCCCTACCACCCTCGAACCGACACCATGGGTCCCTCGCTCAGAGGTCATACATCAATGACTTCAATGGCTGCTCGACCTCAGACCCGCGATACAAATCGCCCTGCTACTCGAGAACAGCAAGTTGACAATGCCATGGTTCCCAGCCGAACCTCATCTCTCCATTCACGAATCACTCAGCCTCTCCCCTCGACATTGGCGAAGTCGAATAACCGGCCTACGCCCAAGACATTGACCCATGCGTACATGGTCTGTGGTGTGGGAAGAGAACCATCGCAATGGGTCAAGGCACCACCTCCATCACATGGCAAGATCCAACATATGAAAGGAGCTGTGGGCCAGTTTTGGCTTCCGGAGATTTTGGGGAGCAGTCCCAGACTGGAGAGCGACAACGAGATTGCAAGAGCTCTACACAGCGCAATGAGGGTTCGTCGATATCACTTTCCCACGCTGTGATTGTAATCACTGACCACCGTATAGGCGTGCTTTCCGCACGACGTTGAGATCTGCACGGGCAGAAGCCAGCCACACTGCGTTCATCACTCCTTCGTCCTCCAGCAGGACTCCCAGCACACTCTATACGGCATTGCCCTGCGGGTTTGGTCACGGGCTGACGAGAAACGTGCCGAAACCATTCGCGACCTTCGCCGCAAGACCGAGCCCGACTATAGAGACGTCGCGGACGAGACCTATTGGATTCCCTACTGCCTGAGTTTCCTCTCCAGATATCCCCTGTACAACCTCTTGGGAGACTACCTGCGAGGAATGTGGATTCACTGGAACAAGGCCACCAATCTGTTTCATGCCGAGGAGGTGTCGAGAATCCTCAGCTTTCCTGCTCCACGACTGAACGACCTTGTACGGATCGATATGAAAGATTATGCCCTTTGTTATCAATTCCCCTCCTCACCCACTGGATTCCAGAACTTCAACATGTGGCCACTCTTCTGCTGCTTGAGCATCCCCAATATCGTAGGCCTGATTGAAGCAGCAGTCTCACCCACACGCCGCATCATCCTCACCAGCCACCACCCGGCGATGCTGACCATTGCAGCTGAGACCATCAGATTCTGTGTTCGAGTATACGAGTGGAGCGGTCTGTATGTGCCTGTTGTCCATGCTCGCAATGCCAGCGAGATGGTGCAAGAGCCTGGGCCATACATCCTGGGTATCACCACCGAATGCCGATCACTCTTTCAACCTCCTAAGGACGCTCTTCTCGTCGACCTGGACCGGAATCTCGTCATCACTGATCATCCTCCAAATATCTTGACCGCTGGTCAACGTACCAAAATGATCAATCGCCTAACACAGGCTCTGAATAGCGACGTCGAGATTAGCGGCGTCCCCCAACATCTCAAGTCGGCGTATGGAGGTGGCAAGCTCATCCCCGCCGGACAGATCATTGTTCTGCGCGGTGAGGTTGAAAGCGTTCAAGATCCCTCATGGTGGAACCAAGACGCCGTGATGGCGGTCATGGACCACGTCTGCGAGAAGCTCGGCCGCAACACTGGCGTCAAGGCCATCTTTGGTGGGACGATGAAGAAACCCCTGATGACCAAGATCTCTATGAGGCACATGAATGAGATTGTCCGAGAACGTAACCAATATTCGAGAGACGCACTCGAAGCATGGCAAGACTTTATCAATCTCAAAGGCCGCATGGATACAGAGCTTGCCAAGGTTGCAAAGAGGAATAACTACCTCGAGCAAGAAGTGGAGACGTGGAAGCTGCAATTCCAGAAATTCCAGGCCTTTGTCGAGTCTCTCAACAAGGAGTTGGCTGAACTGCGTGTCAAGATCGAGTCTCACAAGCGTGAGAACCGCAGACTCACTGGTCTCATCGATCAACAGAAAGACGATGCTGCTCGTCTGGCTCTACGCTTGTCTGGCACTGAGAGACAACGTGACAACGCTCTAGAGGCATTGGTGCTCCAGCAGGGCATTGCCGAAGATCTGGAGAAGGAGCGTGCTCGCAATCGGAAGGAGATTGCAGCCCTGCAACATACCAACCAGACCCTGCAGAGACAACGTGATGAAGCTCAGCGTGTTGTTCTCCACCTTCGATCCCTGATTACCGGCCAAACCCACCATATGGAACACATTGTCCGTTCCATTGGGTCAGCTTCCGAGTTGGCCGAGTACATCAATGAAGGGTACGAGGAGGAGGAAGATGAGGAGGGAGAAGGAAACCCTGATGAAGAAGAGCAGGATGGAAATGCCGAGGACGGTGAAGGTCTTAAGCATGTCGGACTGACCGCACGACCATCAAGGTCTGGCTCTATTGACGGCCAAGACGTTACACCACAAATGGAGAACAAGCTCCTGGCCGCCAGCAAGAGAGCTAGCAAACGCTATTCAGAGCTCAGCATGTCTGATGTGGCTGATCGTCATCTCCGCGACAAGACTGATGCTATTGCTGATATCATCCGCAACATCAGTGAACAGTGTGCTGCTGCTGTTGAAGGGCTTCAGCTGGCCAATGAAGCGGCTGATGTCGAGGAGGAAGAGCAGGCCGAGGCTGATGAGACTAATATGTCGACCTCGACGGGCCATGTTCGACAAGACAGTGAGAACTTGTCTCCCGTCGAGCACGGTGCCAGTGATTCTCGCGCCGGCACGGGTCATTTGACTCCCCAGAGCGAACGAAGCTCGATTCCTCCCACACCGGACTTGGTGCACCAACGATCCAGCACTGCCTTGAGCATGGCAAGCACGGCGCCCACGAACTACACTGCTCGAGAGTCTCTCAACCACAACACTCGCGGTCCTGATCGTACGAAGATTGTCGAGGATGAAGATGCCGAACGAGCTCACGTGAATGTTGCCAGCGGCACTGGTAGCGTGAAAGGGGACTCGGTGTCGGAGGAAAACATCAAGGTGCCCCCCGGTCGAGGACCAGTTCTCAGCCGTGTGTTGGAGGCATGAAGTACCAGACTGAAGATTCGATATTTGCATACCCTGGATTTGGATTTGGAATTTGCATTGAACTTGAGATGGCAAGGAGCTCTGGCGCAACAAGTTTGTTGGGAATCAAGCGGCAAGAACAATCTCGGTACCATTTTGGTGGTGGTGTCGAGGTTTTGATATTGTCGTCGTCGCTGTCCGATGTTTGGACAATGTCTCCCACTTTGTTTCTTTGAAGGGGTTAATCTGTAATTTTGGCGCGGCTTTGCCTGCAGGAATTTGCTTTGTTGGATTTACCAGTTTGTTTGTTTGTTTTTTCCGAATTTTTCATGACCACCGAGACAGAACTGAGTTTGAATTGGCCGAGTCGAGAGGGCCACGACACTTTGAAACCTTTTGATGGGCCTGTCCTGGCCTAGCAAGAAGACAGTATCAGTATCTTTGTGATATGAGCCAGAAAATGGAAACCAGAACAATGTGTTTGGAGTATTTATCTACATTTTTTCAGCATGTCATAACAGAACTTGAATGCAATGTTTGGAGCTGGTCTGTCCGGTCAACTATGTAATAGTAGTGTGGCATTGTTAGCATTTTTGTGTAGCTCCTGGGTCCTTGGTCTTTTGGTATGTGTGTATGTATGTATGATAGATTATCAATATGCCTTCCCCGAATCATCAGGCATCTTGTCCCCTACTCTTGCTCTTGCTCCCTCTCCAGCTCCTCCTGAACCCCCACGACGGCCTTCAACCCGCGATCTCTCCTCCGAATATCCTCTGCGCTGGGCATACCGTACGCGGTCGCGGTCTGCTCGACGACTACGTCCTTCCAACCACTGTTATCGTCATCGCGCATACTCACCTTCTCCGCATCGTCGCTCCACACCGCGTCGATCGCCTCGCCGATATTGTCGAGGAACCCGCGCATGCCCCTCGCGCCGCCGCCGAAGTTGTACATCTGGAAGGGCCCCGCGACGGCCCAGCGCGGGCCCAGGCTGGCGCGCACGATCTCGTCGAGGTCCCGCGCCGTGCACACGCCCGACGCGACCAGCTGGCACGCCTCGCGGAACAGGATGAACGATAGCCGGTTGGCCACGAAGCCGGGCGTCTCCTTGTGGATCGTGATGGGCCGGTGGATCGAGCCCAGACTGCCGAAGTAGGTCTTTGCAAAGCCCGTCGCGGCGGGCGAGGTGTGTGGCGAGGGGACCAGCTCGAGCAGCGGCATCAGGTGGGGTGGGTTGAAGGGGTGCACGATCAGGAGGCGGGAGCGGGCGGAGGCGATTGTCTCGTCGGAGAGATCGCTGTTACTAGCCGCCGCGGTGGTCGTGGTACCGACATCCCCTTGGGAGGAGGTGGAGGTCGTAAGGTGCGCGAGTTGCTGACTCGCAGGAATCCCGCTCGTCGACGACCACAGGTGCGTCTCGGCGCTCACGTAGCGCAGCACCTCGGACCACGTCCGCTGCTTGAAGGGGAGATGCTCGGGCCCCTGTTCCTGGACGATGGTCGCGTGCTGCACGGCCTCGCGCAGCGTCGAGCAGAACCTCAGCCGGCCCGACGCCGTGAGCTGCTCGACCGATATCCCAGAAGACTCGGGAGACCCCGACGATTGCGATGTCGATGGCAGATATAACGGCAAAATGGCCGCGACGTGCTCCTTCAGGTCCGGCCGCGGGTCAAACACCGACACCCGCGCGGCCGTGTAGGTCAAGTGCAGAGCCAAAAAGGAGATGCCGATGGCGCCCACGCCGATGAGAGCGATGTGCTCGGATCCATGTGGTGGCGCTGACTCCGAGGGCTGTTGTTGAGAGTCTGCCATGTTTGAGGTTGAAGAGAACCGGGATGCCGATGCCGATGCCGAGGCGTCGAGACGTAGCTGGTCAGTCTGTGTGTATAGCTGTGCAGGGAATAAAGAGATAGAGAGAGGGAGGGTCCAGCAGCTGTATACTTGTTGAACTCGTCTCGTCTCGTCTCGTCTCGCCTGGTCCTGTCTTGTCCACGATGAAGTTGAGTTGAGCTGAGTTGCTGTTCAAGATTGGTGGAGAGTGGGGACTCGGACGATTGATGTATAACTCTACAACAGGTAATTATTGTACCTAGGTATATACATACCAAGCATATAAGGTCTCCGTCCCGTTCCCTATTCTCACCAAGTCAATCGTAAAAAAGAAGGAAAAAAGAACACACCCATGGTTATCGCTCTCCTACCTACCCATCTATACAAAACTATCGTGTGTATATAGTCGCAAGCAATATTTCACCTGATTCGGGAGGGGGACGAAATAATACGAGACGAAATGACATGACAAATCACATCAAATCGTCCAAACACCGTCCATCTGGGTGCCATCCGATTGCGGCATACACGAGAAAACAAGACAAATTGAGAAAGATATCGTTTTATGCAAGTGACTACTAGGTAGTCCTACTCGTACAGCTCGACTTGGGCCTGTCACTGGCATCGACAAGACTATGCATCGTGATACATGTTGGCTTCATGTGCTCCATCTCAGGGCCCAGAATAACTCGACTACCGCCACCTCTTCTTCGGATTCAGTGGAAAATGAAAATGTTCCCGCCTCGATCCACACTGACCACGCACCCGTACGGTTTCCTCAGCATCACCACATCAGTGATGGAGTCCAAGTGTGTTCGAAGCAATTGCTGCTGTGCCGCGCTGATGATTGTGTTACGAGGAGGTTTGATTGCTTGGGGCGTTGAAGGTCCGGATGCAGCGCTGACACCAGAGTTTCGGTGCACAGTCGGTGTGCCAGGCTGACTGCCTGTAGCATTTGGCCCAGGTGTACTCGACCTTTTCGAAGGACTGGAAGCTATATGGGCCGTACCGTCTCTTGAGGCCCGTGCATAAGCCGCCGTCTTCCTCGGCGACTGCCCCGACGTGTTGGCTTCCTCACTGGCGTGGGCCTTTTCCTGGACGAGGGCGATCTGCGCCCCTGCGCTCAAGCTCAACGGATGAGACACTTCGTATCTGTAATTAGACTTGATGCTCCCAGCCGACGCATAGCTATCCTCGCTCGCATCATGCAATTGCGGTCCCGATACAATGAAGCTGTTCTCCGGTCGACCAATATCCCAATACCGCAAGGCTCGATCAACACCACCAGTCAGGAGGATCGAGTGCTTGTTGGGACTGTCGGGGTTCGAGCTTTGAGTGTAGTCGGTGAAGATGTACATCGCAAGAATCGGAAAGGTTGAAGCCGACCCTGCACTGGGCGATGGACTTGTTCTCTTCACAGGTGACCCATCCGACACCTCGTTATGGTTCGACGAGGCATGGAACTCCGGTCCGATCAGGCTGCCGTCCACCGAAACCTCCTTGGCAAACCGTGAGAGAATCTTTTCGCTGCTCTCCTCGTCTGGAGACCAAGCTTCATACGGTCGAGTCTGCCCACTCTTGGGCCTGAATGTACTCGGTCGCAAAACTTCTCGGCAGACCATCTTTTCAACGTCCCACGCACTGACCTCTCCGCCAGCGCTTACCATAACCCATCTGCCATGGCCTTTCGCAGGATGGATCAGGAGCCGGTCGATTCGAGAGTCGGTTTGAATCCCGAAACTCCGCAAATGCAACTTGAACCGCAAGTCCCACAAGTCCAAAATTCCGTGGCTCGTTCCCAAGAGCAGCCAGTGATGTTTCCTGTCGACACAGAAGGTGGTTGGTGTGCCGTGATGTACCGGGTTATTCATGCTGTGGAGCATCTCCATATTCTTCATGTCAATCACGAGAATGCGACATCTGTTGGTTGCTGCTAGCAAGATAGACTGCGAGGTGGGCGTGCGATAGTGATGAAGCCACACGGCGTATTCCGTCGCCAATCCTGCAGCACTCCCGTCAGGACCACTGACATCGTTCACAGCTCGGTTAGATGGTATCAGATAGTCCCGCACAAGGCTCGGTCTCCCATACCGTGATGTCTCACCCCCCTCGACACTCCTATAGTCGACTCGTACAGCATGAATGCTTCCGTCGTCAGCGCCGCTGAGAAAGGTGTGCGTCTCCTCGATGAAACAGAGGCTCTTGACCTTGACTCCCTCGGCGCGTCGGTGTGTGTACCGTGAACGGGCCGTCACATTCTTTTCCAACCTGATCGTGTCCCAGATCTTGCAGGTGCCATCGTCTGATGCCGTCACAAAAAACGCGTGGTCAGGTGCCGCGCACACTCGGTTGATGGTAGCCGAGTGCTCCGAAAACTGGGTCAGCAATTGACCCGAAGGGCGCCATGGCTCGCTGCGAAACTTCTCTTCCTGCTGCGCGGCTTTTCCGCTGCTCTGTTGTAACACGTCCGTAGCTCTTCGAATGGGTGTTCTGGTGTCTGCGGGTGGTCGATTCCCGCCAAAGTCCATCTGATCTATAGGGAAGTTCTCTAAGAAGTGATTGTCCAGTAGTCGTAGTACATTGGCATCATTCCCCTGATATGAATGATTGGGCTCATAGAGCGGCGTCCTCGCCCCACTGCCGCGCGGTGAAACGGATCTGGACTTTGCGGCCACACTGGCCGTCACTGATAACGCCGAGGGACCTGCCGTACTGCGCCGATGAAGTTGTCCGTCAACCTCGACCTTGCCAAATGCGTTCTCTGAAATGGTCGAAATCTCGGCATCCGCTTTCGCAGAATCGGTCCTATTCATCAGGTTTAATCCGCTGTTTCGATGTCGGAGTTCGAGAGAGGCGTTTCGGCGTAGAGACAGCCCATCGCCATTGATCGAAGTGTTGCCATTTGTAATGCTTGGTCTGGAGGATATACTCGCTCTTTCCACAGCTATTGTGGGTGTGCCGTTAGATCTTGTTTCTGACGGTTTGCGAATTCGGATGTCCATGGGTTGGGTAGAGGGGGTTGCCGCTCCGCTGGACTGCTCTGCAGACGAGATCCGTCTCGACATATGATCGTCGATGCTGGTTGATGCGTCCAGAAGAGCATCTGCCAGACTGTGTCTCTCATCCATTCGTGATCTTTTCTGTGCCCTCCGAGGTCCACTCGTGTTTTCTCTGATGGGCTGACGCGAATCGAAGAAGACATTCTGCGGAGTAACATCGATCTGATTCAGAGCAATGATGTTATTCAACATCCGATACCTCTCGTCTGTATCCTCAGCTGGTTTGTGTCTGGAGATTTTCAATATGTACTCTCGAAGCGCAAGAAGCTTGATCTCATCATCCGCCGTCATTCCGAGAATTCGTAGACTCTCCAGAGAGATTTGATCATCTTTGTCTTTTTGAGAGGGAGGTATCCTGGTCAACAGTCGTTTTGTGAGTGCTGCCGGATTTTGCGGCGTGGTGGGATCGGACAAGGTCAATCCACCGTCTCGACTTGCAGCTGTCCAGAACAAGCTGTTCCCTTTCCTCGCTGCCCAGTTGGTGGCTGAATCAAACACGATCTTTGGCAGCGGTCGCTTCAGGTTGTCCAATATCCGCTCTTCTGTCAAAGCGGAGATCGGCCCCTTCAGGAATGGCTGTATGAGCGGGAGAACAATGCAGTACTGGTCTGCTGCTGAGATGTACTTGGCAGACAGGACGATGAACTGTATCGCGCTCTCCCGTACCCAGATGCTGGGATGAACCGTGAACCTTGCTGCCATGCCGACAAGTTCCCAAGTCGTACTTTTCTGCAATAGACCTAACGCAGCCATCCGTGCTAAGGATCGGAAGACTTTCTCCACGACAAAGTTCTCAGAGTCAGTTAAAGACCCAACCATGACCGGCAGTATGAACTTTTCCAAGCTTGTGGCTCCAATATAGGAGGCGATTCCGACAAGAGCTTCGAAAAAAGAACACCTCAATATCCAATCCTTATCGTTGAGATATGTGTTAAGGTGTGTCAGTATCACATCACTGGACTGTTGGCTGCCGAAAAAGACGCACAGCCGGGATATTGAGCCCAGCAATGCTCTCCTGACAGATGCTTCCGGGTCTGTTATCAAAGCAACAGTCGACTCTTCAAAATGAGGCACGATTTCGCGCCGGCCATAATCATAGAGAGCGTTGTACGATTGTTGGGGAGCCAACTCATCTTCTCGCAATGCAGACAGTCGTCCGTCGGCCCGGATGGCGTGGACCATGTCCAGGACTCTTTCGGCGGATAATGCCAACGAAGCCAGGCATGACGCATACGCCGAGCGCACAAGAATGCTGGGCTCCCCTGAAGGGCCAAATCCGAAATGCTTAAGGCGCGGTAGGATATACTCCGGAAAGATGTACGCATTGATGGGCGAGACGACCTCAATCATCTCGAATATGGAGGTCATTGCATAAATTGCTGCTGCCCTGACCACGTCTGATTGATCAGCGACCAAGCCAACAATGTATGGTAGTATTCGATCCAGCTTCGCCTCATCCGGAAGTCGTTCAGCAAAAGCAACCAGAAGGTCACATGCTTTGAGTCGTGCTGATGCCTTTGCCGTATTCCTCAAGCTGGACTCGACCAACGTCAGGAAGAGGAGGCTACCGTCGTAGAGGCTAGGGTCCGCGTCCGGCGTTTTGACCTTGTTGCTTGACTTCATCGTCAGAGGCGAACGCGAAGACAGTTTCGTGGAGCTTGGCCCATAGCCAAGAAAGAAAGAGATCTTGTCAAAGTCATAATAAACTCGTTCTATCTTCTCGTCGAATTCGCCTAGGCTCCCTAGATTCAGCTCCACCGGTTTCAGAGCAGTGGCAGGCCTGGTAAGATCGAGCATATACTGGTGTAGAAAGCTGTAAAAGTACTCTGGAAAGATCCTGGATCGGTAGAAGGAGAGATGCTGTTCTGCATTGTAGCGCTTTTCCGGATCCAATTCAATCATGTTGAGGATCATTGCTCGCACTTCAGGGTCTTCGATCTTGTTGAGATGGGTATGCTCGGGGCTATAATCCCCTGATCGATACTTGAAAAGCTGACTCAGAGAGAAGATGGGACCTTCCAAAAAGATTTCGGCAATGACACACCCAACGCTGAAAATGTCCATGGCCCAATTCAGTTCTCCAGGGGTGTCTTCCAGATTGACCGAAGTGAATCTTTCCGGGGCAATGTAACAGGTCCGTCGCGATGAAGTGTCAAAGTAGAACGAGAAGTCGGCCGGATTGTCTTCTGGTAGATTCACGGGCTTGAAGGAGGAGGAGAAGTCGGTGAGATAAAGCCAGTTCCAGGAGGTGACGAGAATGTTTTCTGTCTTGATATCGCCATGGTATACGTTGTGCGCATGGCAATCACGAACCGCACATAGCAGCTGGAAGGCTAGCCATTTCTTCTCAATATCCTCCAAGAAAGGCCGGGTGCTCATCCGATCGTAGACCGAGCTGAACATGTACTGACGGACGAGGAACCCACCACTAGGGACCTCGATGATTCGCTGGTAGCCCAGGGCATTGGGGATGTCGGCCAAGATTTTCCTCTCTTCTGTAAGTTGGCGAATGTACTCGTGGACTTGGAAAGACGAGTACGGTTTCATGACAGCCTTCACAAACACAAAGCCTCGCTGACTCCTCGCGCGCACGCTTTTCATGAATCGGGCAGAGGCCAGGGTCTTCTCATGCACCAGGTCCGCAAGCTCAGGGACATCAATGCTGGCGGATGCCGCGGAGAGGGTGGTCATGGAGTAGCCTTGCCCCATATTGAAAGAGTGGCAGTCGAGATATCTAGCAGTGGTTACTCTGTGGATGGGTTAAGCATGAAGAGGCTCCAGGAGCAGGTCCAAGTGTCGGACTAAGAGGTGATTAGAGATGTTCCGGCAACCATGATGTCGTGCCGTACTCAAATACTAGATGTATCTGTCCTGGAGGGCGCGGGCGCGCCCAGATGTCTGGTTGATGCCCGATATGCCACTGTGTCGGGAATGACCATGAGTTGATGGAGCGTAAATGTGATTGTCTCGGTGAAGGACAGGAGTTCGAACAGGACGGGATCGGATGTGAGGCTAACCGACTCGATGTTTGGTCTTCTCTTGGTGGAAAAGGAACTGAGTTGTGTGCTCCATACAGCCCGTGTTTGGTTTGAGTGAACGGGCCCTTGCAGGCACTTGATCATATGCGTGGCTAGTTAGTCACATGATTGGATCTCTTGCCTGCGCACGCCTGCATCTCCCGCTGCTTTCTGCCTCTCTCTGCCTCGACCACTCCGTGCTACACCTGCGACTCCTCCCCCCCGCCCGTCCCCCCTTGGTGCCCACTAGGAGCGCATCAGAGCCACCGGAACCACCCACGTCTTTGGCTTGATTAAACTTCACCAATGCCGCATGTGCGTGGCATGAACAAGCACCACCCCCTGTAACACCCGGCACCAACCCGCTCGCCAGCTGGCTCCTACTTGTGGGTTTCGTCATATCACACGAGCATTTGTTTCTGCCAGCTGCCAGAAGATGCCCAACGATACTACCACTCTTCAGGCAGTGTGCGTTTGATGTCCGATCAGATCAGGGATTTTGTGGTGTTGTCCACCACCGCCTCTTTTTTCGACAAAGCAGTTGCCGTCTCCTTCTCGGTCAACTTCTCTTCATCTCACCGCAGACAGACGTCATCACTCCCACCGTCATTGAATCTCCAGAATATGAGCAGAGCTCCTGTCCCGAGACTTTGACATTCGTTCCCTTCTTTCGCAACCCGACACTACGCAACTGGTTTGTGACCGGTGAAGATGCGGGCAGCGGTGCTTGGGGGATCAACGCAGAGATCGACGAGTCGATAGGGCCAGGTCCGGCATCAAGATGTCCGAACATGGCAGCAATGAGTCGAGACGGTCCTCCTCACAGACGTCCAATCAGTCGGCCGAATTCAAGAAACCCAAGACCCTCCGGGGTGCCCCCAAGCGTCATGGCTCGAAACACTCCTCTAAATCTTTCGAAGAGGACGACCCTTCTCTGACCTCGTTCCCCTCGTTTTCTCCAGAGGCAGAAACAAAATCGGCAAGCGTTGCTCAAGAGGCGGTTCCCAAACACATACGTACGATATCACAGAAGGCAAGGGATAGGAAGGCCACTCTGGCCGGCTTAACAAGCGCATCCCCTTCGCTCAATAGACAAAATGCGCTGTTTGACGATTCCCCGCGATCATCTTTGGAGATCCCCGGTTCTTTGCATCTGGCTAGCGACGAGCACATAGAAAGACTCATCGCCAGGACTGGTGCTGTCAAATTGGTCCGTCAGTATGCCTCCGATCTTGCTCAAAGAGACGCGGAGATTTCTGCTCTACGAATTCGAGCAGATCACAGGGAAAGAGAATTGAAGAAGATCCTGCGCGAGGCCAATGTCCCTACGGCAGAGGTAGAGAAAAGATTGCTCAGATTGGAACAGGGAGAAAGTGACTCGAATGTCCATTCTGGCTCAGTGGATCGGACAGCTGCGTTGCTGGACGGGATGATGAGCGAAGCCATGGCGGATGGCATTGTGGTCAACAGTCCCTTGGACACTGATTTCCCGGCTGGTCATGTCTCAGATACTCGAAGCCCTCCATCAGCATCACACGCTGACCTGGAGATGAATCGCAGTAGGGCTGGTTCTCTGGCATCGAGTCTAGCCAAGGCAAGCCGAACCCCCAGTAGGGCCAACAGCAGTGTGAGCGACAGTAGCCAGGATATGGAAGCCACGTTACGACCCCGGGTACCAAGCTCAACCACCTCCAAGTTGTCTGGTCTGCAGAGTATATTCCAGCCTCCCTCACAGTCCTCGAGCTACTTCATTGGCGGCAAAAGCGTCAAGAAGCCCAAGGCCAGCGATGAAGCCAGTGTGCGCTCTAGCCAGTCTACTCGATCCTTTGCCTCGTGGACACAAATTTTTGGTGGAAAGTCCCAGCCTAGTCGATCTAGGGCATCGTCACTGGGACAGCAGAATACACCTGGGGAGGTAGAGCCGGCTGCACCGAAACCACGCATGGGCCCGCCTCTGGTTGCCACCAAATCGTCTGCCTCCCTTCCAACAACTGGGACGGTCAAAAGCCGCCCCCCAGCAAAGCGCGTACCTACTGCCACGCGACTGTCCGCCAGTCCAAATCATGTGCGGAAGGGGTCAAACGCAAGCAGCCTTCCTCCGACTGTCGAACTAGATTCTATGATTGAAAGTTCTCAGCTACCTCCCACCATGACAACACAGAATGTGGACAGCACCGGGCTATTGACGGACCGCTTCGGCTTCATCTACGACCAGAAACGGCGGAAAAGGCAAAGCCTTCCGGTTCGAGCACACCGACGAAACAGGCTGAGCGGTGCCGAAACCATTGCTAGTTTTAGAGCTGGCGAACATGCACCAGCTGATGAACTCTCAGCCGAAAGACCCATCACGCCCGTCTCAGTGGATGATGAGGCACCTAAAAAGTCGTGGCAAGAGTACCTTAAAGTGCCCGCAGCGCTGTCTTCGGGAAGGCCCAAGGAATTACTTTCACATACGCCGTCTGCTGGAGCTGTTGTCACTGTCAGTTCAGTGGACGCCGCAGGCACTACAACGCCACCGCGTCGAAGCCGGGAGGCCTCCATTTCGGTCTCTGCTGCTTCGCAAAAGGCACTTCCAACCACCAGTGTGGTGATGGAACCGCAGCCCTCCACAGTGACGGCGACCTCTGCCGACTTTACACCGGATTCCGAGTCCGACTCTATAGGCGACTCCGGCCCCGCGAAGTTACTTTTGGAGCAACTGACAGAACTGCACGACGCACTTCAAGCTGAAAGAGCTGTCCGGTGGAACGACTTTCTACGTCGAGTCAGAGCGGAAAGGGCAAACAACGCCGACCGCGCTAGCAACAGCAACACGCCTGAAGCAGACCTTCTCAGCGGCGAACTTATAGGGATAGCAACCCTTGGGCGCTCGACAAAGACGAAGGCAAAGTACATGCACTTCAAATCACTGGTTCTGGCTGGGATACCCGTCTCCCTCCGGCCAAAGATTTGGGCCGAGTGTTCTGGGGCAAGCGCTTTGAGAATTCCAGGCTACTATGAAGACCTTGTTGCCCGATCACAAGACGGCACCGACATCGACCCTGACATTGCAAGCCAGATCAAGGCGGACGTTCACCGGACACTCACCGACAATGTGTTCTTCCGTCAAGGGCCTGGCGTCCAGAGGCTGGAGGAGTTGCTGAGGGCCTATTCCTTGCACAATCCACGCATTGGGTACTGTCAAGGTATGAATCTCATCACAGCGTCTTTGCTGCTCATTTGTGCGACAGCAGAAGATTGCTTTTGGCTTCTCGTTGCCATTATTGATGTCATTCTCCCGAGTCAATATTTCAGCTCGACCCTGCTTGTGGCTCGGGCTGATCAGGTGGTTCTTCGGCAGTATGTTGCGGAAGTTCTGCCAAAGCTCAGCGCCAAATTGGATGAGTTGGGTGTTGAATTGGAGGCGTGCACGTTTCATTGGTTCTTGTCGTTGTATACGGGCGTTTTGACGGGCGGCGAGGCCTTGTATCGCGTTTGGGATGTCATGTGAGTTGTGTCTGCCACTCGATTCGAAACGTTCTGCTGGAATGCTTTACTAATCGCGCATTTTCTCCGCCACAGTCTGTGCCTCAACAGTTCCGACGCTCCTCCACAAGCCTTGAACCAACCCAAGACTGCGCTCTCGGTGGAGATGCCATCCCTCGGTCTGACAAGTGGCCCATCTACACCTGTGACGCCATTGCACCCCCAAACCGAACCTAACTCCACCGCAGACGACTCCTCGGATGAGCATGACGGGACATCGTCGCCGTTCCTCTTTCAATTGGCCCTCGCTTTGCTGAAGCTCAATGAAAACGCCATCCTCGCACTCGACTCCGCGGCGCAGGTGTATACGTATATCAACCACAACATGACGAACCACGCCATCAGCATTGATGCCCTGGTACAAGCAAGTGAGGCGTTGAGGACGAGAATAGTAAGAAAGGAAATGTTGGAGAGGAGGAAGCAAGCGATCAAAGAGTTGGGACCGTGAGTGGCAAACACGACCAGCACTTGAGGTTAAAAAAGAAGGCGAAAGAAGTATACAATCACCAGGAGAAATCCTCAGAATTCTCGATCAAGATACAATAGTTGGGATGAGGGAGTGGCTGTTCTTGGGCTGGAACTTGAGCTTGGAGTCTTATCAGGATAACGACTTCGATTCCAGCGACGTTGATCATCTCCTGGATTCTGCATCGTTAAATGGACATGAAGGAAAAGAAAAGAATGATCAGAAGGTGTGCGTGTCTGGGGGGGACACGAGAACCGGCAGTCCCAAGTGATCAGATGCACACAAGGAGGGGAAACGGAGTTGAAAAAGAGGCAACGACTTTTCTTTTGTTGTCAGCTATTTGTTGCTTTTGTCTACCAGGCACGTTTATCGTTTGCTATATATGCATCTTTACATGATACCCCCGGGCGACCATGCGAGAAAAAAGCGAGTATGGAAACAGAGCAAGCTGGATTGGAGAATGCAAACTGGAATAAATGGGAAAAAAGTTTTAGATTATGAAGCCGATATATTGAACCATGCATTCTCGGCTGATTGTTGGAGTCTTGTCTGTTGGTTCATTCATCTTTCCATTCTTTAGTTCATCCATGGCCTGGTGTTTCCATCGTAGCTCGTAGATCTCACCCAGCACCCTATGGAATCCGGCACCAGCTCTCTCTCTCTCGCGTCCTCTCCTCTCTTTACTGGCGCGTAGTCTACAGTAGATATCAGCTACGTGTACTAGGTTCCTTGTACAGGGTATGCGTGCACCTCACAATACACAATCCCCGGAGCAATGTTCATGAGGTCTAATGTCTAAGGTCTGAGCGAAAAAGGGTCATTCATCTGCATACTCCCATGACTCATAACTGGTTGACTACCTGCCTGGGTACCTATGTAGGTAAGAAGGTGATGCCGTCTGTATCCAAGGACAGTTCCCGACCTAGGTATGGTGTGGTGTTGTATGGTATGGTCTGGGATGAATGTCACATGCGTGCCCAATCTCCCATCTCCTATTCCATTCAACTCGCTGTGCGTTGTGGGATAATGAATGAATGAATGACATACTTTGCTCGATCAATCCACCCGTGCAGTCTGTCCTGTCCTGTCCTGTCCTGTCTGGTTCGGTCGGCTCTGCTCTGGCTCGGCTTCGCGATCCTCTCGTCTGTCTGCCCTGATATCTTTTTCTGTCCTTGTTTCAATCCCACCCATTCCCTGCTCTGAAAATACTCGATCCTCTTTTTTTTTGGCCTTTTCTGGGTCAATTTCTTTTCTTCTTCGTCTGTGCTTGTTGCTCGTCATAGGAGAGGAGGGTAGATTCGTCAGCTCGTCTCGCCAATGTCAGACCGGACCGGGTCGTTGTATTCATCATCCCCAACCGAGAAAGTGCAGTGATCGTTGAGCTGCCAAATCAGCTCGTGAACTCGTGAAACACTCCGTGCTCGATCCTGGATCAACCATAGATGACAAACTCGCGGCACTGATGAAACACTCGGCGAGGACGCATGAGACCCCTGTAGGCTCCGTCAAAATGGTCGAGGGGGCAGCCGATGGGTCAGGTCGACATTGTCGGCGTCGGCGTCGTCTTGGCCGTCGTTCTCGTCCTCCACCAAGATGAACTCGTTCTGTCCCTGCTCTTTGACCTCGCCAAACAACTCGAGCAACTGCTGGATCGTGGCTCGTTTCCCCATGCTGTCCGGCCCAATGGCACCCGTGACCTCGACGTCCTTGCGCTCCTGCATGCGAATCAGATCCTCGTCGATGGAACCCTTGACCACGAAGCGGAGCACGTCGACACGGTTTTCCTGCCCGATCCGAAACGCACGGCAGTACGCTTGGGCTTCGACCGACGAGTTGAACCACAGATCCAGAATGATGACCTTGCTCGCCATGCTCAGGTTCAGACCCACCCCGCCGGCCTTCAAGGAGCAGATCATGATGAAGATGTTGGGATCGTGCTGGAATTTGGTGATCGCCCGGTCTCGCGCATCAAGGGACATTTTGCCGTTGAAGAGCACATGGCCCCATCCCTCGGCCGAGCAGACCTTGCTGAAAATCTTCCCGAGCCCGAGGAATTGGGTGTAGACGAGCACCTTTTGTCCCTCGTCCCGCTTCTTCCAGTTGAGGATGGCCGCCTTCGCCGCCAACAGTTTGGCAGACGGGAGGAGATCGCCACCCGCTTCCAGCCAGTCCAGGTCTTCCTCCTCGCCCTCGCTGTTGTCATCCAAGGTGTCACTACCATGGCGGAAACCAGCACCTCTCGCTCCCCCGGTGGCCTTTTGCGTCAGCTTGGCCAGCCGTCTCTTCTTCTTTTCCACCTTGGCCGCCATCTCCTGGTTGTTGAAACCGAGTTCTTTCAGGCCGCTACAGGGCGACGACTCTTCGAAAAACGTCTGGCATTCGAGGCACGCCATCTTCTCTTCCCCTCTCTTTGTCCGCTCTTCGTGCATGGCCGTCATGCATTCTTGGCAGTACACGTGGAAGCATGAAGTGCAGACCGGTTCGTCGGGAGGTTGGCGACATTTGGCACAGATTGACCGAAGATGCACTTCCGTCCAGGTCTCGGATGTAGCCAACGCCCGAAGGAACTTTCGGAACTGGAAGGAAAGCCCGTAGTCGGAACCAGTGGCAAGGTTTTCATCGTCTTCGACATCTGGCGTCACGTTAGCCCCTTCGAGCTCCCTGGTCTGGAATGTCTTGAGCGTGTTTTCGTTGGCAATGAGCATCTTCCTCAGAGCTCGCATCATGTTCACCGCAACATTGTCGCGAGAAGCCGACACCTCTTTGGCCGCCAGCCGCCACAGAGTCTCGATGTCTGCCGCCACGAACAAGCGCTTCAACACGTCTTGACACAGCATGATGTGCGAACAAAGCATTCGGAGACGCATCAACATGCCCAAAATGTTGCCATAGTTGCTGTTGAGGTTCCCGGATGTCGAGTACGTGTTGATTCGCTGGATATATCTCGACTTGACAATGTTGTAGATATTCCTCTCCACGGCGTTAAATTCGACCAGGATGGTGTTGTGCGTGATACCAGGCAGTTTGACGATGGGAGCATTGAACAGCGTATCCACGTGGGTCCTCCTCAACATGATACCCCTCAAGACATTGTGAAGCCTGCCCATATTGACTGGGTCTTTATTGATCCGGTTGTTGCAGTAGTTGTGGCAAAAGGTCGCGTAGTCCCCAGTATGAGGAACCCTGAGGAAAGAGAAGTACGGAAAGAGCTCTTCGATGTAGTTCAGGATCGGAGTCCCTGTAATGCACCATCTGTAGATACCCGTGAGAGCACGCACCGCAATCGAGGTCTTGGACGTATGGTTCTTGATGTGATGGGCTTCATCTAGGACGATGCGGTGGAACTTGATCCGGTGCAGCGGCCCGACGTTGTTGAGGAAGTAGTCCTTCCACCACTTGTTCTTTTGCTCTTCGGACGCCAGATTCTTGGGCGGCTCTGCCAGAGGATAGCTCTTCTGGACCTCGCCGTAGGTGGTCAGGATCACATCATACGCCGTCAAGTCCGCGACGATATTGTTGCTTTGAAGACGAGAACCGGAGTGGAAACGGAGAATTCGACCCATGGCGTTCCCCTTTACGTGCTTGTCCATTTCCTGCATCCATTGATTGAGCAGGGTAGGCGGCGCAATGATCAACGTGGTTTTGATAGCACTTCCCTCGTCCGCTTTGCCATCCAGGATGTTCGCACTGTCCAAGTTAGCAACGGTTCAAGCGCTTGCGATATTCGACTCACATCATCTGTATTGTTTTTCCAAACCCCATTTCGTCGCAGACTAGACCACCCTTCGGTTTTATCTCTCCGGTCTCCCGTTCTCGCATGAAGGCAGCGCCGAGAAGTTGGTGGTTGTAGAGCGAAGACTCCATGCCTCGAAGCTTCCACCCGCCGTGGTTATCTGATCTCACGGCGCCACGCCCTTTAAATTTCTTGGTGGCCTCCAAGACAGCCGCTCGATCCGAATTGGCAGAGCCACGCTCAGCCGACGGGATGCTCGCAATGAGTTCTTTCAGTGCCGTGGCTTTGTTCGACGACGTGAAGGTCGGCATGTCCGGTCTCGAAGCGTTGGCTTGTGCAGCGCCCACGATGTTGGTCTGTCCAAGGCTTTGGAGATTGCTCAGGTTCGGCCGTCGTGGCTGACTTCTCTTCTTGTAGGACTTTGGGACGCCGCCGTTCTGGTTCGTGCCTCGTTTCTTCCTTGGCTGACGATCTTCTGTGGAAGCCGCCGCCTTTCTCTTTGGCTTTCGACCCTCGCCGAAGCCGGCATCAATGCCAGCAGAGATCGCATCTTGTAGCTCCTTCTTGGAGAGTCGGTTGCGAGTTTTTGGCGCTGGTCCCTCCTTTGGTGGAGGACCTGGTAGGGTAGGAATCTCTGGAACGAATAGCGAATCTGCCTCCTCATAACCTGCAGGGAGGTCATCTCGGGTGGGAGTATTGTTTACTACAAGCTTCCTTCTTGCAATGTCCCGGAGCCGTCTGTGCTCAGCAAGCTTCTCTGTAGCGAATAGCATGTCGTCTGCTTTAGTATTTGTCGTTGCGGCCACCTTTTTCTCATACTCTGCCTTGCGATGGGCAAAATACGCAGCTGCTTGTGCATCTTCTGCTGCAGGGTCCTTGTCGATGACGGCGTTCCAATCCATCTCGTCGCTGTTTTCTTCAACAAGGTTGTTTGACAGCCCCGCAGAGTTCCAAGCGGACTCATCAATCGCGTCGTCACCATCCTCAAGATCACGAAGGTTGGTCTTATTCTGGTTGTACTGCTGAAGAGCTTCAAGGCCGTGCATCTCCAAGTCTTCTTCCGGAGGGAAAGGAGGCTCTGACGGTCCTCCCAAATCCACTTGTTCTGGATGACCGAGAGTCTTGTACTCGTCGAAAGACTCGGGGCGTGTCAGCTGGGTAACGTGAGGTTGTGGCACATTTGAACCATCGTCTGCGGCCTTAACAAGATCGACGTCAGTGTGTCCGTCCTCGACCTTCCTCTCAGCTAGTCCCTGCTTCCCACTGTGTATTTTGTCATTCGCATCACCATCGTGATGCGACCCAGCATCTTCTGCCACCCTGTCGAGGTTCTCGATCGTGGTTTGAGCAACTGGCGTATCCTTCTGCCCATCATTTCGCTCAATTAGCATGATTGGTCCAGAATTGGAGTTGGGCTTATCCGGCTTGATATCTTCCTCGTCGTCATTCGACTCATGGCTCGTGGTATCATTTTGTTCGTGAAATAACTCAGCAAGCTCAGATTTAGTCGTGGTGCTAGTGAAGGTCGCGAGGGGTTTATCATCGAACCCATTGTCGTGGCTCGTCGCCGTGATCTCGTTCTGCGAGGTATTGGAGTCGACGGGAAATGTCTTATTTGCTTCCTCATCCGGCTCAGCTTTGACCCTTGGCTTCTCTGGTACCACTAGCTGACACTCAGATCCTGAATCGCTATCTGAGTCATCTGAGATAACGATGACATCCTTGTCTGGGGCGACAGAGGAGCCGGGCGACTGAGCCATGGTGATCCACGACGATCGTGGGTGTACGAAGCAGGCCGAACTTCCACAGTACCAGATCTTCTGCCGAAACACCAAGTACAGAAGGAAACCAAGAGGAGAAGAGCCAAAATAATTCAGATCAAAGATTGGAAGGAGGAAAAGAATGATAGAGAAGGAAGACGTCAAGAAGGTAGAAGTAAGATATCAAAAAGCCTTGCGCTGGAGACGATGTCATAGGCAGTACTAGTAACCATGCCAGGGTTACTGAGAAGCCTTCATTCTAGAGTGAAGCATTGATGAGAACGCACGGCGACCATGAAATGCATGCGGTTTGTTGACCATGAAGAGCAATGGAGTAATGAGAAACAAACCTAGAGGTGATCATGGAACGAAGAGAGAAGTGAGGTAATGTGTTCCTCGGGCGGTAGCCTTGGGCAAGAAAGGAGACACCAATGTGAGGTTGAGAAGAAGAACAAAAGGAGTTTGAGCACTGAGGATTTGCCATTGAATTGGACGTCGAGCGCTCGTTGTAGCCATGTTATTCCAATGAGATAGTTGGATCAGGCGCACCTCCCGTGCCTGCCTGTAGCACAGCATCCTGCTCTTCAGGCGTGCGCCATGCCCTTCATCTTGCTCTCCTCCTCCTAGTGTGAGGAATGGTCCTTGTGGAGGAGACGTAGAGGTTCTTGAGCTTTGTGCACAGGACAGTCTGTAGGAGAAGGGAGGCATTGTCGTTGAGCTGCATCGTTGGACAGCCGCGGCAGACGTAGCAGTATAGCACTCAGTGTTCAAGGCATTGAAACACAAGCATTTGGGGGCCAAGAGAACTGGTATCCGGCTTGTACCTAGGTACGAGGTAATAATATGTATCTCCTTGTATGCAGTTTGCACGAGAGTGAGTCGGATGGAAGATTTCGGGACGGACAATGTCGGTTTAGCGGATTACCCGATATGGTTAGCTTCCGGCTGGTTTCCGGCTCTTCACCGTAAGTTGGAGAATGATGCCGTCACGCCGCTTTGTTTCCCCCTTCCATTACCCACTCTCCAAATTCCTAAAGAACAGACAGGCACAGGACAGGTTCAACTCACTTCTTACATCCTAGTAAGCTTCTACAACAGCAAAGCACTGTGCTGCCTTGCTGTCCCTGACCCCTTCCACACCGTCCCCGAGCACGGTCGTCCTCTGTCATCCACAACATGTCTCGATGTCTGTGTCTAGGCCGTCGTCCTCTCGCCCTTTCTCCGAACCCGATCTTGCGCGTCCACTCAATATCCCTTGTTTCAATTCAGTCTACTATCGCGCCTTGATCCCTATGTGATGAACCGTCTGCGAACCCTTGAGACTCTGAACATTGTGTTGAAATGCTGGGGAGACTGATCCAGGGCTATGCCAGAGGTGGCCAGCTTGAGAGTGCCACGGAAGAAACACACACCCGCAGTCTCCTTTGGCCGGAATCGCATGCGGAGGGACGTGTCAGCTCTCTATCACCACCCAGTACTCCATATGGCTCTCCTACGACCCGTGTCTCACCTTTTGACGATCGAATTGGGTTGGAATTGAACGAGTCCAAAGACTTGAGGCTCATTGTTGCCCAGGATGCCTTCGGAACCAACGACCGTCCCTTACTGCTCTATGACACCCACTTTGTGGAGTCAAAGGAGCCCAACTTGGGTCAACGCGCCCCTGTCCCCTCCCCTGCTGCTGCTGGAGCACCTCAGCGTGTAGGCTCTGGGATTCCTATTTTAGGACATGCGAGGAATCGAAGCTCTACCATTTCAGGAGCTTCGGCATCGTGGGCGCGCCCTCACAAGGAGTCGGAACCGACGGACCACCTAGGAAATGTGCTAGACTGTATGTTTGGCGTCAGCAGTGCTGCCAAATCCGGATCCAGCACAAAATTGCACTTCCTCCCAGGCGATCGAAGTCCTGCTAGCGACCTAAGTTCGCGTGCACCAACCTCAAATCTGTCTGGCACAGCGCCTTCTCGTGCTCCGCTCCTGAGAGCGAGGACAGCTACGACTACCGCTAACAATCAGAGTCAAAACAATCCTTCCAGAGAATCTGACCCCGAACCACGGGACGCCGTTCTGATCACTCGCATGTTTTCGGTTACGCTTCCTGAGGCTCAAGATGATTTGAGGCAGCGACGAAGGTCTTCCGCCGATCCCACCACCTCAATTAGCCCGCTGTCGCATGGGCCTGAGAATCAGATGGGTTGCTCCCTCCACAGCAAGAAACCCAAACTCGTAGAGAAAAAGACTCCTGTCTTTGCAATCGGCTTGCTTTTCTACCTGCCTCGCCCTGGTGACGTGCGTTCCAACACGTCGTCGGCGCGCCCTTCATCAAGAGCCTCATTTACGCCGTCGTCGACCCCGAATTCCTATGGATCGGACTCCTTTTCGTCCTGGACAATCCTGAACGCAATTCCCGAGTATTTGTGGTCTAGCGACAACTCCAGCCAGCTAACTGACCGTGGCATTGATATTATTGTGGGAAACTGGGAAGTTATTCTGAGGAGCCTTGCAGTTGTTGAGACGCTAGCACGGTCCGAGATTGGCGAGCTTTTGCAGGAGGTGAATCTGGCGCTGATCACCTCCGCAGCAAAGGCACCAAAAGGCCCTTCAGAACAACGTACCAATCAGCGCAATGTCTATCTTCGGTCTCCAAACAGACTGGCGCAGGTGGCCGAGCTGCAACGCGCCGCCAGGCATACTCTATGGAGAGTGTCATATGCGCTGCGCATTCCGCGGGTGTACACGGGCCTTGGACTTGATAACGGGGGTCACTGGCTTGACGAAGCACGCTATCTTGTGCGACTCTGCGGAAATAAACAGCAAAACTTTTTTCTTTTCAACCTCTTGACTGCATTTCTTGGAAACCATACTGAATGGCTCGAAAGGCTAGGACCAGACTGGTATCGAAGACAGCTCAGAGTTTTGAACAAGGGGAGGCCTCGACCCACTAACGTGGCTTCTCGAACAGTCATAGTCTGCGAGAACCGATCAATGGCTCGCCGCATCATTTTTCTGCTGGCATCATTTCTGCCCCGGAATGCAATCACGAAGCTCCCCTCTGAGGTCATGTCTCCGCTACTCACGCCTGATATCAGCTCCTCTTCGCCTATCCATAGGATCATCCATGAAGATTCCCTACGTCGCCATGCTCACAATAAGTCGCGAGATGGAACCGTCACATTCTATCGCCGCGATGGTGCTGGGTTGTCCAGCAGTGTCTCTTCGTCTGAGAGCGCCAGTGGTATAGCTAGAGCCTTCCGCAGAAGTTCTCGGTCGCGAATCTCCAACGCTGAGCTTACCCTGGGCATGAGACAGGTCTCCGTCTTTTCACCGGGAGATAATGGTGGTAGTTTCCACAAGACCAATCCAACTAGCTCGACAGCTACGCCAGGGCTGGGCACACCCGTGCCACACTTTGCGACAAAGGCTGTTGACAGCTACTTTCCTGAAGGCGCCGTCGTGGATAGCGAAGAGACTGGAGCTAGCGCTGATCTTGCTCGAATCTTGAGACGCGACAGCGTGAGTCAATCACAGTCCCATCAATCGAGTATGAACTGGGGATCGTTGATCAGCAACGTATCTGGACTATGGAACAAGAGGCAGGACTCGACCGCCTCAACAAGTGAGATCACGAGTTCGTTTGACACTGGAAGCCTGAGTGATCGCCGCCGATTCGCCCCTAAGTCTGTGCAGATTCATGGGAGACAGCCAAGTCGGTTGGAAGCAATGGTTGACGAAGCCGGTCGGCTTCGAAAGAGTAAGCTAGGTCAAGAGGAAGATTCCACAAGCTTGTATCGACCATCGACGCTCCCGAGTGAGGCGCATCCCCCCCGGCTAACAGTCGATGAGAGGGATGGAGTTGTTGATGTGGACATCAATATTCCTGGGTTTATCGGTTGGAACGAGGGGAAAGGCGCCTCTCCCCCTTCATGGATACATCATCGATCCCCTTCTTTTGCGAGTGTGGACGAAGCGGGCTCAATGTACAGCACACATTCGCGTCACGCCGATGTGACAGGCTGCAAATCTCCAAACGTTGCCGGTTACCTCAAACGGTTTCATGAAGACTTCATACTACAGGGAGTCAAGCCGTACACTGAGCTTCAAGACGAAATCAGGAGAAGCATGTCAAGAGAACCAACTCCTTCTGATGATATGTCTCGATTGCCTGCAGACACAGAAAACAATGGAGAACAATGGGTTACTGTTTGCACAACACTACTTGCTGACCTACGGAACTTCAGCATTCAGCGTCTGACCCTGAGACGACTGACACAACGAGGTACCGCCGGCGATACTGGTACAGGTGCTCCGAGCCAGTCCGGATCAGACAATGTCCCACATGGTTCCGGAGCATCATCCAGCGCCGAGCTAGGATCGCCAGCGACTCAGCTGGAGCAGTTTGACAGCGAAATAGTCATGGACTTTGATACAACACTTACTGATGCAATCGAACGTGTTCTAAACGAGACAGAGCCGGGAAGACAGAAGTCAGGCGCTCCAACCAGGACACATTCTCGGACTGTGTCTACCGCGACGACGTCTTCGGTGAGGTCGCTGCCCTTGGAAATATCGGGCTCCGGCAAGGCGAGAGACTGGCGTCGCCCAACCACGTTGTCCCAATCAGATTGCCGACAAGTAGTAGTTGGCGCTCTCGAGGAAGTCGTGAAAAGTGTCAATGACGATTTGACCAGGCATAACAGAAGCCGAGATGCCGATGGACATATCAAGATGAATGATGATGCCTTGAATCAAGAAATGAAGCAAGATAATGTATTACGTGAGGGGGTCAAGAGATGGCTGCTCAATGTTGAAACGAGGAGTGTGTGGTAGGAAAACTGGAGGGATGGACATATGATGAGTGACGATATTCCCCTGCCCACGGCGACGATACCCTTTAGAGCGCATGTATTATTAGCACCTTAGAATTTAGATGAACCTGCGACAAGAGGTTGTACCAATGAATAACAACGGCTTTTGACATGAATGAGAAGGGAAAGAATCGAGCCTCTCTCCCTTGGCCAGGTCCGCAGAAGGCGAAATATCGATGGAAGCCCATCACGAAGACCGTATGGCAGAGGCTTCATCACAATGCTTTCGAGGAATTCATGGACTGCTTGACTGCTCAAGAGTTCTCTATACAGAACACGTCAGAGTGTTGGGTTTCTGATGTCTGATCTTGCTGCTTTAGTCAACACAGAAGCTCCATTTAGGGCGGCGTCATCTCCTTCCTTGAGCAGGTTGAGCCGCTAACTACTTGCAGCCCTTTGCTGTCTTGGCAAGCTTGGCCCTAGTTTCCTGTCTCGACGTCGGATCGAGTTTACTGTGCATCTTGTTCTCAATACCTAGTATCACACACTTGTCAACACATACGGACAGAGGAGCTTGACTATTCATAGAGTTCTCTATTCCGACATCGAAACTTTGTCTAGGAGCTCCGATGTGTTGTCGCCTGCGCTCGTGGAGGATGAGTTGGCCACCTCGTCAGAGCTGGCAACTCGATTTGGGACATGAAGACGGCAGTTTAGCAGCCCGAAATACCTAGAGCCTCACATTCGACTCAGTGTTCAATATGAACCATATATCAGTGCATCGAAGGACCAGCAGCGGCTCGACCGTCCGAGCCACTGGGACATCACAAACAGGCTTAGCCTCCGGCTACCAGAATAGCCTAAACACCGTGTCAGTTCGCGCATCGCTCTGGATCCATGACGATGCATTCTCATCCGAGGACGTTCTCATCAACGAAGCCATTCTAGCAGGCTCAGACATCCACGAAGGTGGCTTAATCAAAATCTTCCCGGTTACTGAGGGCTCAGATGTCCGGGATTTTCAGTCGCCCAACAATGAACGAGTCGACTCCAGGCGCAACACTGGCTCTTTAAACGAGACTAGCGACATATCTGGCAGGGACGACTACTACCTTTGTATAACCAAGTTCGCGTCCGCCGAGTTCAAGGCAAAGCAGGCCAACCTACAAGTCTCGATCAAGAGTAATATTGCGACAGCTTTCGGATTTAGACCACGCTCATATGTCCGCATATTTCCCGCGTCTTTTGAGGATTCTACGGCATCCCATGTGGAATTCAGCTTCAGGGATACGTATCTAGCCAGATCGGACATGTGGCGGTTGGTTGGACAAGAGTTGGCAGGGACAACCGTTTATGTCGGGCAAAAGATTACCTACTTGGGGAGCATCAAGCTCACAGTTAAGTCTATCCATGTCCGGAATCACAAAGTGCCTACTGCTTTCTTCGCCGGCACCACAATCCCAGTCTTCCGCAGTGAGGCGGCACGGTACGTGCTCTTTATTCAAATGTCCAGCGAAATGTGGGACTTTGATTCCGAGGGAAACGGTGAGATCATGTTCAACCGGGTCATCAATGGCTTCCTACCCGAGCTTTTCAAGAGATGGACCGACCTAGACGTTCGGCACCTAGTCAGCATTGTTCTTTTCGGCCGTCTGGAATACGACCGCTTCGAACTCGCGCGGAACAAGGATCGGAGGCTAGAAACAGCACCAATCTCAGGATCACCCAACATGACCGCTCGCCAGTATCAGGACTTCTATAGGGTGGTCGTCACCGACATGGCCAGTGCGCAATGGACAACAATTTTGGACGAACTGAAGAAGGATTTTCGTGTGTTTTTGAGAGACATCTCTCTACACACATCGAACACTAAGGAAATTATACCAGAAGATGCCAAAGCACCGCCAACGCGCATTGCTGGCAGACCCAGCGCCGCGCTCAAGGGCAACATATTGGAAGCCATCAATATTGCCAGCAGCCAGTTTGCTCATGATTTTGAGGACCGGGATCTGATTCGGACCGGTGTTTCAATCGTGGTAGTCACAGCAGGAACCGGCGTTTTCGAAGTTCACCGAGATCTGTTGAACCTGACCTCGCAGAATCTTACGAACAACGGTGTTGGGATTGATATTGTTTGTCTTTCCAGGATGCCATTACACTCGGTGCCTCTATTCAAATATCGGACTTCTGGAATGGAGGAGTCATCTCTGTCCTCGGTCGTTGAAGAAGTCACCGTTCCTGAGCACAGGTACGGATCTGGTCCAAGCTTTTTCGATTCCAGCCAGCCTCGCAAGCTCTCCCCGGCACTGTCATCTGCGGCCACAAACAGCACACAGTACTTTGCAAGCTTTATTTCAGGCCGGAGCGAAAGTGCGCAAGGGTGGAGCTACGGCATTCCTCAGTGGGTTGACCTCTCGTACTGGTCTGCCGAGGGCGAGTCAGCAGAGATCAAATTTCTGGAGGATGCCGCCAAGGATGTAGATGGGACCTCAAAACGCAAAAAAGGACCTTTCTTACCCCGTGTGAGGATGTACGAGATCCAAATGATGGGGCTTATGGAGTTAGGCATGGCAGACATGACTATCCCATTCATGGCAGAAACGCAACTATCACTCACGCGTTCGCACAAGCGTGCTGGCTCAAAACGCAGACGAGCAACTGGCAGCAGGAGTCTGTCGCATTCACCCACGCTATCACGCAAGAGCCGCCTCGGCCCGGAGCCCACGCGAATATCCCAGGGGTTGCTGTCATTAAATGCCAAAGCACTCGGAGACATATTCGACCGCATGGATGCATATGACTCGCAACTGTTTCAAATACATTCGACCACAGAGACCAAATCAAAAGCCGCAAAGATGACAAGTAGCTTGGTGAGGACCGATACGGCCTCCTCGACCAAGCCAAAGAAGCCCCAACCAGAAGAAGCACCAAAATCGGGATCCGGATTGACAAAGGTATTGACCAACAGATCATTGAATTCGCCTTTCCGACCACAGCTCCCGTCCCTCGTCTCTGCAGATGCTTCAAGCCCTCCGTTAACAACTAAGAAGGCCCGAGAAATATCCAAGGTCAACCGGACGCTGAACTATGCTTTGAGAGGCCTGGCTCCACCTGTCCGTGCAATTGCCAGTACCGAAGTAAACATTACCAACGTAGAGGCGCATTCGCCGTTTGGTAATCTTGGCCACTCAAGGCCGAGTGTAGCGACATCAGCTGCTAGCATACGCTCCGTGTCCACGAACAGTGTGCTAGGGGAGAAGCCTAAAGAGACCCCGGCTTCCGTGGAAAGATCCAACTCTCAAATGTCCGCGCGACCAGATGATACACCGTCAAAGCCCATCTCTATTAATACTCCGTTGCGAAAGATTCAGGACGATCTCCTCTCTGAATCACAGAGATCAAGTTCAACCACCCGCCGAGTTCCAAACCATATGGCTGCTTCAAAAGATGATCTCGGTTATAGCAAAGAGGCAGACAGTGAATCTTCACGCTCTTCAGGAAGCGAAGGAGCAGACGACTCGGACAGCGTGGAGCCGGCTGAGAGCCCGTTGGGGACATCGATCGCCAGCTCGGTCCCAAGAAGTACTCTCCCCTACGTACGCAATGTCAACGCGTCAAATCCCTTGAAGCGCCACCCCGAAAGGGAGTCGTTCTTCGGCAGATGGCAGCATCTTTATCCTCGGAAACCACGTGCCGCCACCGTCAAGTGGAAATCTCTGTGCACTCCTGCGTCGGTGCCTCTGACGACCGAGGATTTTCCAACCAAGGATGAACTCGAAATGGATTATGACACGGAAAATTACCATGTCATTCTGGCTAATCCGAACGAGATGCTTGAAGAGCCCGAGTCGCGCGACATCCTCCTCGGGGAGATGTTGGCCCTCAGATTTAGTCATGGGTACCAGCTCGTAGTTGGTCCGTCACTGCTCGAGTCTGTTGGTCCCGGGACGTGCGACACGTCGTCGTTCTTCACACCGAATCTTGTGCGGCCTGACGGGTCCTTTATTGTCATGTCAATGGGAAACACGATACAGAAGCTGTCTCTTGAGGTGAAAAATCGCATTCAAGTGACGAGGTATATTCGGAGACCACCAAGTGTCCAGCCTCCATATCCTCAGGAGATTTCCTATTATCCCAACATAAGGACCATTCTCTCCGAGGCATACAAAATAAGAGATATGCGGTTCAACGGGTTTTCCGAGCAGTACCCCTGGGAAGCGGCGGACAGATACCTGGCTGACTTTAGAAAGCAAAACGATGTCGATGTCAAGGCTCTCCGTTTCTGGCGAGCAAGATTTGTGCTCATTCCGGTGGCGCCACCAGTCAACTCCTGGAGACCCACGCTATCAGAAGCTGAAGAAAGCGAAGAAGAGATTCATTTGCGCGGAATCCGAGCGTTGACGCAGATGTGGCAAAAGGCACGATATGTGCCGCCAGACGAGAGAAGACCTGCTCATATCCGGTCAACCACTACGAAAGGAAAGGATAGAAACCCGCTCAGGATCAATCTCGAAACCCTCAATCCATCGGAGCTCGTAGCGACGGAGCTCGATAAGCTGATCGCCGCTGAAGAGGCCGGCGAGGTACAAACGACACAACTTCTGCCCGAAGCTGAACAGTTTGAGAGGGACTCCTTCAGCCTTCCTAAGCTAGCCCAAGCCCTACAAGGCGAAAATGGGATTGAGATCAAGACTCGACGCTGGCACTTGCGTCTTTACTACAGTTGCTTCATGGGTGAAGACTTGACAAACTGGCTAGTCCATAACTTTCGGGATATTGACACTCGAGAAGAGGCCGTTGAGCTGGGCAATGATCTTATGAAGGAGAATCTTTTCGAGCACGTCAACAGCAAGCACAACTTCAAAGACGGCAACTATTTTTATTCCATCAAGCCCGAGTTTCGCATCCAGCGTATGGAAGCGAGGCAATCATGGTTTCCTGCAAGCCGACGCTCAGATCGATCGATTCCGCCCACGCCTGCGACCGAGCATCCAACCCGGGAGTTGATCAGTGGCAGGTCACGATCAGGTTCGAATCTCGCCAACCACGGACAAGTTGCCTCTGAGCTGGCCAAGACGCTGGGAGACAAGAAAAGACGAACTGTGACTCTGAGCAAGATGATCCGAATCGACGTGGATACGAGGAAGCGATCCAACAGACCCGAAATAATCAACTTACATTATGACAGACTTCACAACCCGGAGAACTGCTATCATCTCGAGTTGGCTTGGTTCAATGTCACGTCCAAGTTGGTCGACGACGCCATTGTGAGCTGGTCTACACAAGCGGAGAAGTACGGATTGAAGCTTGTCGAAGTCCCCATTGCAGAAGCGTTCAAGGTCCCTGAGCATGAACCTTTTCGTGCCGCCTACCGCATCAAACTTGCTCTCCAGCCTCCACGCCGCAGCGTGGTGAGCACCCTGTACTTTACGGCAGTGTCATTCGGGCCGCAAGCACCCCTGACCCCTGACATAAACTTCTACCAGAAAGCGATACTCAAGCGCTTCAACTTCGTCCTCGACCTCGAAGCGCCCTCGGAGTTTCCAGAGAATGTCGAGATCAAGTACTCCTGGGGAGACCTGGATTATCGCTACACGCAATTCGTCCACCGCTCCGGAGTCGTCCTCGCGCAGATCACTGATGAAGGTGACATCCTACTCCTAGCAAACAGGCTGTATAATTCTCGTCAAGCGTCGGCAAAAGACTCGTCGTCAAGGTTCGACGCCGGCAAGAAAGATCTTACACCCAATGCCTCGAGCACCATGCTCCTGCGTCCTCAGACCCTCTCTTCGACCCATTCTGCACCGAGTATCGCAGCATCTGGAATCATCGGATTGAATGTACAATCACCTCACGCCGGGCCCTATGCATCACCACTTATTCGGCCTCTTTCATCGACTCCTGCCGCTCCCAGCCATATGGGCGTAGAGACCACGGCGCCAAATGCCAACACATCCATATCGACCGCTGTCCCCCCTCCGCCCATGACACCAAAGGTGACGGCCGACGTCCTGGGCACGCGCCGAGCGCTCATCGCCTCGGGATTCTCGCACTTTGTCACGCCCGAACAGATCAAAGACGATCTCGAAGCCTTTTGCGCCGACAGGGAGCGTTTGGACACCTTCTACAAGGAGGTCACGGCGACGTTACCCGCCCAGCATGCCGCTATGAGAGAGCGCGAGCGCGACCGAGAACACGAGAGGTACGGTGGAAACGGGCCACTGGGCGCAAAGGATCGGGGATACAGGACCGCGGGGACGGGTTCGAGCTTGCTCAGGCCCATCAGGGAGCCCGAGTCGGAGACGGGCATCCCCGAATTCAGACTTCCGGACCCGTTGAACATGGGTTTTAGGAAGAAGGATGTGTCTGTTGTTGTATCTGGATCCGCACCTGGGTCTGGGTCTGGTACTGGTACTGGCACTGGCACCGGCGCTGGCGGGACGACGAACCCTCGAGACTCGACATCCTCGTTACTCTCGCCATGATTTCTCAGCTTTTCACCTCACCACACCACACCACACCACTCTCCCAGTGATGGGGACACGAGATAAAAAGACAGAAGATAAAAGGACCCATTCTAGGTCACGTTTGCAATCAGTTCTTTTATTTGCTTGTACGCGTGATTGCCATGTTTGCATGCTCTCATATGGGGTTGGTGATTACATAATGTGTATATGTATCATGTATCATGTAACATGTGAGGATGTATGTTTAATATAGTGTATATAGATATACTATATATGCCCCGGACTGAACTACGCCGATTGCCTTTTCCGTTTAGGAAACGGAGTACGGCCGCTTTAATAGATCACGTGAGAGAGAGTCGGGGAAGCACGGCAGAGCGCAAGGGGAGCCTGCCGGAGCACTGAGAGAGTCGTGCCTGAGTTGGGCGAGCACGACTGAGTAACGATAGAGCTACAGGGGATCCCTCCCTTGAATCCCATCATGCAGGAGCCAATTTGGGCCAAAGGACCGGCTTAGAACTCGAGCTAGAATTGCAAAATTATACTCTCCAACCGTGTTTCAGCCAAGCCTACTGACTAGTTTATGAGTACCTTTAAATCCTTCATAGTTGCGTGGTGAGGCGTCGTTCCTATCAAAACCTATGGGTAAGAAGTTCAACTGAGCAAAGTAATTGGCAGGGATCACGTGCCTCTGTGCAACCAAAGGTACCCTTGTCGTCCCCCCGGGCTATTAGACGGTCCTGTTATATAGAGGATAATGGTCGATATATTAAGACTACCTGACCGGGTAGATACTATTATTGTGCGAGCTAGTAAATTATGTACCACGCTTTCAAGAAACTAAAACCTCCTCATCATCCTCCTCCTCAGTAGTAATCGCCTCCTTCATTCCTAACGAGAAAGCCCTGCCCGTTTCGTCTTCTATTACATGACGCGCATTCTGCACTCGTGCTAAGAAGGTCGCCCGTGTCACTGTACGCGGCGGGTTAAACCGGCACTCTTGGAATGCGTCAGCAATGCCCAAGCAGAGCGTGGGCCCGGACAGGTGCCAGCTACAGGAATGACGAAAGGCGACTTTCAGCCAAAGGCGATACAGCGTCTCCATGTCTTGGTCCGTCATCTCCGGGTGCAGGATGATTTCAGCCGCATTACGGTGGTGCTTCAGGAGCAGCTTCCAGGCCCACTTGCTCTGACGTTTGTCGAGGATGAGTCCCTTGAGGATATCTGTGGGAAGTGATGTAACGCTCCCCAAGGCCTTTTGAGCTTCCTTCATCTTGCCGTTGTTGTTGTTGTCGTTGTCGGTGGCGAGCTCGACCAACTTTTGTAATACCTCGGTGGACAGAGGCTCATCTTCCTGACCTATCTTATTTGCCTGTGCTGCTCCCATTTTCGTTTGTTTCCGATTAGGGCTGCTGAGCATACCCAGTAACTCTGGCAAGGCATCCAAATTCACCGAACCGACACCATCAATTTCAAAGCTTTCATATCCTTGACCATCACTGGAGTCTTCCTCAGGGTCCATCCTGTTACGAAACTGCTGTAAAAGCGCGTCCAGAATTTCCCCTATCTGCTGCGGCGGATTACTCAGTCTTGCTCTCAACCGGTTGAGAACGTCGTCGGGTAATGATTGTTGTTGACGTAGGATCTCAATGCAATGCTCCTGATTAGACCAAAATGCCTTCCTATAAAACAAGAAGCGCGTAACCGTCATCAGTACGTCGTCAGGTAGGTTGCCTTGGATACGTAGAGTCTGTAGACCGGGGAAAGAACACGATGTGTGTTGGAAAAGCGACCCTGCAACAGCTCGAAGGCATTCCTCGGAGAGGCCTGTTTGAGTATGGAGAGCCCAAAGAATCGTTCTTACCAATTTGAATTTCCCACCGCGCAGCCAAGTGGTGGCTAACAAGACGAGGTTTGGCGACAGCACCGCTTCCCTGCGTCTCATGGACTCGAACAATGTCCCTACCAACATGTCCGGGTGCGAGGCCACATTCGCCGACCTTTCTATGGTTTTTTCCAAAACCCGTTCGGGGAGTTCGAATTCCCTAGCCAGATAGCTCCGCGAGTTGAACTCGCTATCGAACAAGAGCCAATCAGATAGACAGTCCTCCCACCGTTGAACGATCTGATTGTGCGGTCGACTTCTCTCTCTCTGGCTCAGAATGTTCATGACCAGACGTTGGTGTCGTGGCCCGAGAAGATCACGCGGTGAAGATTCAATCTCCTTGAAGAAAGCACATTGATCTTCGAGCGAGCACGTCTCATGAAGCAGGCCGCTGACGAATAGCCAGAAGATATGGTAACGCGGGCTGTACTTTTCCCTCTGGATAAATATGCCAGGCGTGATTTTCTCCGCGGGCTTGGAGGGATCAGGGTTGACCAATGACTCGGGCAAAAGATCCTGCCGGGATTGCCAACACTTCACAAAATACTGTGCCGCAAAGAACTCTTGGTAAGTCAAGTGTAGAAAATGATAAGTGCTCGGCTGTGTCCTTGCGGAAAGGGATGTCGACGAGCGAATAAAGGACATGTGTGGGAGCAACGTCGTCGGTGCGAACTCTTTGCCGCGGAGTCTCTTCCGGATATTATTAATGGCCTCTATATCGAACTCTATCCGGTTGCTGCAGAGACCAATGAATGCCATTGCCTGAACAAGATTGATCTGGTCCTGGACTTTTTCCCTTATTTCGGTTTCGGTTTCATCAAGAGAGCAAGAAGCATCCTTCCGCCACAACGAGAGCTCAATTGACCGATAGAGCCCAGTCATTGTTGCTGGAGCATTTTTCTGGTATTTGCCTCCCTGGTCCCAGCTGGCGCAGAGAGCTTCGAGTTGAATCGGAATCCGGACCAGCCCTTGCACGATCGGACGTTGGCTGATAAAACCCAAAATTTCACTGGAATGGCCTCGTGCTGTCGACTTAACATACTCATGCACCTGATCCTTTGCAAATCCAGTCGTGTTCAACACTAGGTTCATAGCCCCAATCTGCTGCATATTAACTCGATTCGGACGGGAGGTGATGATGACGTAAGGTTTATTAAGCAGACTCCGAAGGAAGCGGTATGAGTCTGACTCTCGGCCCAGCTCCGTAGACATCTCATCCAGTCCGTCAAGGATGAAGAGAGTCCTATTCGACCCGTTGTCAGTCATGATCAAATCTTGCATCGCCGTTGCAAATTGATCTTTGTCCGGGGTGTCTAGCAAAAGGTCCTCATGTATGACATCTTTCAGGGTACGTCTCGCTGGTCGACCTTGTGGATCCTTCAATCTTCGCAATGGAATCCACAACACGCGATCAAACCGGTTGGCCCACATCTTTTCGCAAAGAAAATTGTGGACCATCTTCTTGCATAACGTGCTCTTCCCTACTCCGGCCTGCCCATAAATGAGGACTCTCTTTGGCTCAATTGGTTGGTCCGTTCCATGTCCACCATTGCCATTGAAGATATCCTCCATTGCAATCGGTTTGCTGTCGGGATCATCTTCGACCCTTAGACGACGAAGAAGAAAAAATTGGTCGAAATCTGCCTTGGCGGGTGCCTGATCTTCCGCCGACGAGCTGGTTTTCTGGGAAATTACCAGGTTGATGTAGCACTTGTCCATTGGAAGAGATTCCCCGAATAGCCGTACGATATGGAGGGTTTTTTCGGTGGGACAAAGATAACGGTCGCGGATGGCCATATCAGCATAGAATTCTTGTGCCCTTTTACACCTTTTCCAGGCTGTGTTGAACAAGTCGCTTGAGGGAGGGTCTGTTTGTGTGTGTGTATAGAAAAGGCCATCTCCGCCGACATAGCTTTTGGTCCGCTTGCATAAAAGGACATTTACCAGCCTGCTCCATGGTTTCACAATAGGGGTCTTGACTGCATTTTCGAGTATCGGGTCTTTGGTAGTCTGGGCAACCAACTTGAACGCCTCCCGTACTCGCTGAGATTTCGAGTTCGACAATCCCTTTGTATGGTTCTCCTTCAGAAATTCCACAGTTCGAGTCTTGACGTCTTCATCGCCAGTTTTCCAGGCTTCTTCAAGCTGCAAGCACAAGCCACAGAAGAACTCCTTATCCGGCTTAGAGCCCTCATTGTCACACATACTGCAGAAGAGCTCCTTGAGCATGATAAATGCCCCAGAACGTATAAGCAGGTCCGTGTATCGAAGTGCATCATACCATGGCTTCCGTTGTTGGAAGCAAGATCCAAGGAAATCACAGCCTGTAGCTGCCCCGGAATTCTGGGCCACCAAAGTTTTTATGGCCTTGACGAATGATTTCGCCTTCTCTGCAGTTTCGTCTATTGACACGAGCTCCCGAACCAAACTCTCCAGGTTGAGGGTCCAAGCCGCGCTAGCAACATTCCCAACCGTACTCAAAAGGCCTATGGAAGTCTCCCAAAGTGCTGTCCAAGGGTCTTGATCATTTGGGATTCCAACCAAAGTCTGGTGGGCATATGAAGCACGGTGAGATAGCCGCAGCACTTTGCTGTTGCTCGAATCCTTCAACTGACGTAACAAGGAAGTGTGGATATAATCCTTGCTGAGGCCCTCGACCTTGAGGGTACTCATAGTGTCGAGGAGGAGAGACAATGAATAGATAAGAGAATACTGGGTCGTGGGATTGCCGGCCTGGCGTACAGTCTCTGCTAAACCCTTCTGGAGGCTGTCAAGGGCTCGGCCGAGGTCAGGTTCGACATCTAGAACTGTAGGACTTTGTAAAGTCGAGTTGAATGAGTCTAAAAGCGTTTGCTCCATCGCAGCGTTACTGGTGCTTCGCTTTCCCATGATGAGGACAAAGGTATCGAAGAGGGTCTTGTAAGTTTCCCGAGAGAGGACTTTAGATAATGCCGCTGCTTCGGGGTACCATGATGGTTTCCGTTCATCCTGGAAAAGCCGCACCATCTCTTCCGACAAGGCTTGCAAAACCAGCCCATCCTGTGAGGGTGTTGGGGTTTTTTCCTGTAGTCGCTTGATCAGGTCTTGAACGCATTGAGGCCTGCTTGATGGATCCATGCTTGACCTTCAGAGGATGATCATATAAACTAGCCTCAAATACAGTCGCCAATGCAGATTTTCAAGAAGGGAGCGTTTTGGTTCTGCATTTGAGTACCTACGGGTTCCAGCCTGAAATGATGAGTTGGCATTTCTCAGCAACAGCTGTGTGTTGGTGCTATTCGCGCGCTTTCTTGACTCAATCATCGTCGATCGAGAGCCAACCATTCCGCATGCAGCAATACCGTATTACCGACAAGGATGCAGGAAATGTAAACTGCAAATGGTTGGCTAGACCCCGGCATTGGGCAGACCATTAAGCGGAAGCCTGCTTGAAACCTAAAGAATCCCTCACCGGTTGCCGCACTGTAAAAAAAAAGATAAACTTATCCGTCGAGATCAAAGATTCGGTTCCCTGTTCCTGACTACTCAGTGACAGCGTTGCCACGATTCGGATCAAGGCTTCTTTTCTTTTCTTTTCTGTTCTGTATGGATAGATAGCCAACGATAAAACCTTTTTCTTGGGTTAAAAACAGTGACGGAACAAAGGATAGAATATTTTCATCGTCATAACATCCTGGTCGGACTCCCGTTCCTGCTCTTGGATCGCCCATTCACCCCTGCATCGCCGCCGGCCAGGCTCTCTCGACTCTCCGTCCTGACCACCAGTCCTGAGCGATCGATCGGGTTCGGCTTCAGCCTGTCTGGACCGTGCCGCTTGCCCTGGAAAGGCGAGTTCCTGCCCTGTGATGTCGGTCGGCTCGGGTTGGACTTGGAGAAAGCCACGTCAGCTTCGAGGACTGTGCTGTCCTCGTCGGACATGTTGTCCAGCTCAAAGTCGTTGGGGTCGTAGAGCTGCTGTGAGGTCCCTTCCTCGAGATCGCGGTCTCGGTCAAGATGGTAAGCGCCTTTGCGGCGACTCAGGAGCGCATGGAGAAACTTCAACGGTGTCCTCAGTTTCGGAGTTGACGACGGTGAGTAAGCAGAGGACGAAGACGGGGAGGCGGGTCGAAGGGAAAGGTAGATCCTCGAACGCCGTTGGCGGCCGCAGAGATAGAATGTCGCAATGATCAAGATGAGGAAGAAGAAGATGAATCCCGGCAGGCGGTGCGGAGTGTCAGAGTTGAAGAGCGTGTCGTGGATGTGGTCCGTTATACTCTGGCCACCGTCATCACTACCACTGGTCTCTTGCAAGTCGGAAGCAGGTACTCCGGAGTGGTGGCCTGGAGCGGCTTGAAGCAAGCCTCCACCAGGATACTGAAAGTCTTTGGGGATCCCAGGCACATTACTTCCAAATCCAACAGGTAAGTCCCCGTCCGAGGCAGGCGGAATCTCTGCAGACGCATACAAAAGCATCTTGCCCATTGTCCAACTGACTTCTGTGGATTTGATTTTGTTCACAGCCTGGAACGGATCGAGGAACCCCTTATCCTCGGCGCCCTCCAGAACTTCCTTGGTGCCGTTATGTGATGAGACGTCCGTGTCTTCGAGTCCGACTCTGGGAATCCCAATGCCATCATGAAGCATATTAATCAGCCAGCTGGCCTTGAAACACACTTCCAGTGCGCTCTTTTCGTCAACTTTGTTACCCCACATGTTGTCCTCGATACCCTTCCGAATATCCGACCAATCTTGCTCACAGAACTCCTTGACCCTCTTCTGATAGGTATTAAAGTCGTATGATTTATCCTTGTGCGCCATCTCAAAAATCTCGTGCGTAGTGTGCCAGTACTCACTCACACCGACAAAGTGATTAACATCAAAGTCGATGGCAGGAACGTGGACTCCATGCACCAGGCACGGCTCGTCTGGGCAGGGTACATCCTTCTCCAGCAAGGGAAATGTCCGCCTGAGACATTCATCAAATTTCCCGACGCCCCGTAGATAGTGGTTGGACAGAGAGGGACCGTCGTCTGAAATGATGGTGCCGTCGAAGTTTACTCGCAGTCCTGTCGGCAAGCATGGATCGGGAACCTCTAGAATCCCATCAATGGCATAGGATTCTTCCAGGTCCTCCACGTATCTCCGTCGTGCCTCGTTGGCGCCAAACCCCAGCCATGTCGTGACAAAGACCTTGTACTCCTGCGGCACCCCATCGATGGTGCGGAGACGTAACAGGGTGAGATCGTTGGCGTGTTTCTCTGCTTCTGTGGCATTTGGTGCAAACGCGATCTGTGCGGACGCGCCACCCATGTCTAAAAAGCCGTATGTATGGTGGCCCTTGCCGTGATGGTGGTCTTCGGGCTCGTCAAATCCCCCCAGCAGATAATTCGCCGCAGTCCACCCGTACAGCCCTTCTGTCTCGCCGGAAATTACTTGTACATGAACATCGCAGTCTGGTATTGAGAATTTCGTCTCGGATTGGATATAAGAACAGATATTTCGGAGGAGGCTATTTTGTTGTCTGTCAGGGAGGAGGCGCATGCCCGCCGTCGCGAGCAGAAAAATAGGTGTGTCAGGAACGGCATCTTTGGGGATGTGTTCGAGGGCGTGGTCAAGGAGGGGTTTTAGGTGGTCTGGACCGACCAAGTCGGGTGTGTCGCCAAAGGTTGAGACTCCCGGGTGCACCTTTTTCGTCCACTTGTCCTTTGTCTCCAATTCCGGCAACGAATGTAGGGAGGTGTGATCGAGTCGAGCGACCGAGTTGGGGAGCCATCGGTATATGTAAATTCTGGTCCCGGACGAGCCAGCATCCAGGACTACACCGTAACGTTTATCAGGCCCGTCGCCCATCATGAGAACCAATCTTTCATGTTCGGAATTAAACAAGGAGTTGAACCAGTCAACTGCAAAAGACTAGTGTAGGGATTGGAGGAATAGCGTGGCCGATAGGTTGTTGAAGCGAGAGAGAAGAGAACAGACACTGTCGATACGATAGAAGGTGAAAGCGATGATTTCAGGTTTGAGAATTCGTGCACATGTGCACGGCGTTGTTTCCCCAGACAAGACAACAATCAAAGGTTACGTAGACACACGTGATGCATCAGGCTAATATCACCGTTTATAGTTAGCGTCGATTGTGTCTTTCAGCCTCGTCCAGCCTCGTCGGCCTGGTCTATGGGGGCATGAGAAGCAGTGGGCACAATGATGGGGATATCTCTAGCAGTGGTCTAATCTTTGTTCGGTCAGTACAGAGGCTAGATTACACACGCTGGACCTCTTCGGCCGCATACTTCCTCATACCATACCAGCGAGGTCCACTTCAGAATACCGACAGCAGTCAGGAAAGCACCTGGTCACTCGATGAGACAAGTCCGTCCTCAGACAAATCTTATCCCTCTAGCAAGAGTATGCGTTGTACTGCTCGCATCCTTGGTCTCGCAAAGGGGTCAAAACTCTGCAAAGAGGGACGGACAATGCAGCTCTCTTTCAGGTAAGCCACGCATGATTCGGGTCTCAACTGAGCAAACAGCAAGGGGCCTGGCTACCCGACCTGTGCTGCCCATCCCTTACTGCGGTTGATGGTGCCTTTGGAAGGGATTTCAGCTGCAAGTTGAGCGTTATTTGTCCGCCCGGGAAAAGTGACAGATGCATTCCCCGATGAGATTCTCCTGATCCAAAGCAAGCCATCAGTTCGGTTGTGTATGGAGTACGACGTCCTTTGAATACCAATACCTTACCAAACCCTTACAGGACTGGAGGGCAAAGAGCGGTGAAGGGCTATAGGGAGGCAGCAAACGGGGAAGCCCCCTGGGCCCTGGGGGGACCCTGGGACCCCTAAAAAGATGCCGGTGCGGTACCTGCAGAAGCATCCGGGGGGCGTCAACCGCTTGTTTTGACGTCCCATGGCGCCCCCCTTTTTCCCTGCATGGTACCTCCCAGCCTTGCATCGGTCGCCACTGGCGGTGTGAGCCCTGAGCAGGTTCATGCGACATGTCAACTTACAACTTGGTTTGACAAAACGCAAGCCGTTGTGTGAGGCGGCACGGCGCAGGATCTCCTCTTCGGGCCTTCAGCTTCCGTACATGTGAAACCCTGGTTTCCATCTACTACGACTTGGTAGCCAAACGGGAGCGAGGGGGCAAAAGTTCCCAAGGGAAATAGAGCCTGGACCGGACATCAAATCAAGCACGGGTCGCAGTCTGGTTGCAGGCAGCAGAGCTGCAGCCTACCGACGTGCGCAGCAGAAGAGCCGCCTTTCTGATGGAATAATAGGTACGAGTCAATAGCAGTCCGTGGATGCTAGCCCAACAATTTAGCTTCAGGGGGCGTTTGTTTCAAGAGTCTCAAGCGGGAAACATCGCCTCTGCGCCTCTCCCGCTCTTTTGCCTGGCGCAAGTGTCAAAACCAAGTATCTGATGGTGTGTGGAAGCGATTGGCTGACACTTGCCCAGTAAAGGAGGGCGACATTCCGAGTCTATCCAAGGCAACAATATTCGTATACGAGCGATCCAGTCCAAAGACATAAGATAAGCTAGGAGTTCAGGCGGCAAGGGGAAGAAAGGAACGCCCTCCTCGTCCTAAACATACGCGGTACTGTTTCACCATCTCGCATACCCGACTATCTACTCGTAGCGACTGCCACCAAACGCCTTGAACTGACTGTGCAAGGCGCGAAAAACACCAATCAACTCGGGTAGGGGCATGGTGACTCTATGAGGCTGCCCGGGCGGCCTGAAGATACAAAATATGGGGACTTGTATATACACACACCAACTGGGCGTTATTGCCTTTTCCGATTATGCTTGGACTAGGTATGTATTGTGATCTATATACAGCATACTCCGTACGAGTACACAAGGATACTTTTTCCAAGGTTGCCTTTTTTGCAACGAAAACACGTGAAGATGTGTGATGATAATCCCTTTCACACACTACGATTGGGACCGAGCAAGCAGCCATGATCAATAGTTCATGCACGTCGCTGGAAGGGGTTCCAGAAGTTCAGGGCGCCGGTTGGGGTCACACAAGCTTCGAGCCTGGGGTCTTCAGTCTCTACTTAGAGGAGAGGAGCATGTCACAGGTGATTCAGTATTGGTTGGTAAAGCCCATCATCCATCCACAGCTTGTCACCCCTCTCA